GACGTTAATGACGTCCTGCGCGAGCTGGCCGCCGAGGATGGCGGTGACGGGGGCTATCTCGCTGCCGATATTCTGCAGGAAGCCGCGCAGGACCTCGGAGCGCAGCGTCTCCGAGGGCAGGCCGAGCTGGGCGTGCTTGGCCGTGGCGAGCTTGGTGAAGAGACCGAGGTCCTCCTTTGTGTGGCTGGGGAGGCGGCCGCTGTTGAGGACCTGGAAGTCCCAGAGGGCGCGCAGGCACGAGATGACGGGGCTGACGGCCTTTTTCCTGCGCGCGCTCTTGGCGTACTCGTCGGGCAGGGTGGCGCCGTCGCTGGCGAGGTACCAGGTCGAGTAGAGCTCGCGCTTGGTCACCATCTCAATGGTCTTGCCGCCCTCCTTTTTGGTGTTGACGGCGACGACGCTGCGGGTCCGCGTCTCGGGCGCGAGCTTGGTCGCGAGGTTGCCGAGGTCGCGCTCGATAACGTAGTCGTGCTCGATGAGGTCGGAGAAGACGAAGCCGTAGAGCCCCTGGGTGCCGGCGGCGTAAAAGGCGCGCTGGTGCAGGCGGGTGGCGGTGTTGATGATGTTGAGGGAGTCCGGGTCGAGGTCGGTGGCGATGACGATGTCAAAGGCGGAGAAGTAGCTCGTGCCCTTGGACTTGATGCCTTCGGCGTCGACGTGGACGCGGACGCGCGGGTTGAGCTTCTGGATGGCGGCGGCAGCGGCCTGGGCGCGGTTCTGGCCGACGTGATGCTCCTCTTCGGAGAGGAAGAATTGGGAGCCCAGATCTGATTCCGAGACGGCGGCGCCGTCGAGGATGGTGAGGGAGCCGATGCCGGCGAGGACGAGGTTCTTCGCGATTTCGTTGGCGAGGGCCTTCATTGTGATGAGGAGGATGTTGGCGTTGCGGATCTTTTCCTGGGCTTTCATGCCCCAGAGGCGGATTTGACGGTCGTAGAGCGCAATCTCATCTGGTAGAAAGTTTCAGTCTGTCTGCGAGGTCTCATGTAGGTGGGTGGCTCAGGCATACCTGCGCTCATGCCCGGTGCCGGAGCTGGAATATTTGGGAGCATGTCGTTGCCCATGAAGATTTGCTGCTGTCCATTCTGCTGGAGAAGCTGAGGCATGAACATCTCACCGGTGGGCAACATGCCAGGCAGGATGCCAGGCATGGCTCCGGGGATGACCTCCTGCAACGCTTCCGGGAGCACCTGGTCCATTGGCGCGGCTTGCATGCTGGGATCGAATCCGTTTGAGGGATTGGGGGGAGGCATGTGAGGTAGGGCGGTTTCCTGAGCTGGCGCGTTGCTACTCGGGGCTGCGGTCTCTTGTGCGGGTTGCTGTGTGGGCTGCTGCGCCGGCGTCTCTTGCGCCGGTGTCTCCTTGGGTTGCGTTTGCTCCTCCATGATGAGGTCGTGAGATGAGACTGGCGTTGGTTGATGACAGGATTTGAATTGCGAAAGAATGTGGTCCTCGTTTCCTACGTAATTGAGTCGCAAATCGTTAGGGCAGCTCAGTAAGTCATGCGCGTCGTGATTTGGCTCGTGAGATGAGTTGGCGCAATGAAGCGAGAGTTGAGAGGTGAGACCGCGTCAACAAGTGAGATCGTGTTTGGGTGCGTCGTAAGAGATGTGAGGGGGGTTATCGCAGTTTTCGCTCATCCAATGACGGAAATAGCAAGAAAGTTGATGGATTCTCCAGAATGAAAAATCCCAAACAGAAAGAAGTGATGGCGATATATGAGTACGCCTTCTCACTTTAGAAAGCAAGGCTGAGGACGGGATGGGTTCACTTTGAGGTCGAGGCTAAGGTACCTAGGCAGGTTACAGGTAATAGACAGGGCAAGCTTGAACAAGGAAGGCAGGCAGCTTCGACTGAGAAATTGTTAACGCGACGGCCCCGGTACGTTACGCTCGCATGGAACGCAGGCCTCGGCGTCCCTAACACGGATAATGCGCTAAAGTCACGCTAAAGTGGTACCTTTGCCTAGCAGAGCGTTACATACCGACATGATGTATCTCGTAGCATCGTGCTGCTGACGCCCCTCTCTTCCATTGCCTCACTGGTTCTTGCAGGTACGAAACCCCGCGGTGGGCAGGGCCAGGGGCGCCTCTCTTTAGCGGGTGCAGCAGGGCGATCCCACCGCTGTCACTGGCTGCCTGTCCATTTGCTCGCCTCCTGTCGAGAGGGGACTAGGAACGGAAATCCAAGCACCAGCACCGGCACCAGCACAAGCACCAGCGGTCAGCGGCACTTCAGTCCAACTCCAACTTGTATCATCGACCAACCATCTTTGCTTTTCCGCCGACCTGCTGACGACACAATCCGAGCTGCAACGACGGCCGTTCGCGCCAGCTCCGTCAGGCCCTCTTGTCTGCACTCACACTCTGCCCGCTTCTGCCACCTACAGCACGAGAACCAAGCTCTAGATTCCCATCACTCTCCGGTTCACTATTTGCGACGAGGGTCGACACCTGGGCCAGCGACCGCCCTTCGTATTCACCACCGTTGTGAGTACGATCCCGGTGGAGGAGGTTCAGCCCGTACGACCAAGCTATACTGCTACGGGCTGCTACGTCTTGCATGCTCTTCTGTGCTACTATCTCGCCTTATCTACTGGTGTCTAACGCTTCTGCCCTCTTCCAGTCGCCCCCGATCGATAGCCCTCCAGGTAGCTGGACCACGAATCTCTATTGCTCGCCCGCCTTCAGCCCCAATCCCACCAAAGCCCATAATTCTCTCCCCTCGAACCGGCGCTCTTGCTCTCACCGCCGTCTATAATACGTCGATAGTAACGAGCGCAGCACCAGGAGACTTTCACAGACTGATTTGTCTCCTGGCGCGTGCGTCGCTGAGCTTTTGAAACCTTCGCCCACCAAGCATGTCGTCGCAACGGCCAGACCCGAGCCAACGTACCCAGAGGCACGACGACGAAGAAGACAACGACTACCCACCCTTGCCACCACATCGCAGGCTTCCCCCACTGCCGCCGATTTCTAGAGATACGAGCCGCCTCACCTTCTCCCCGAGCGCCTCAAGACGACACCCCTGGGAGCCTGAGCCTTACACTACGCAAGACCAGGCCGAGACCTACTATCAGCTCACGCGGCACATGGCAGATCGGAATTTCCAGGCCGAGTACGACGAGCTCGTTGGCAACAGTTTGAGTGGCTTCACGGCATTTATGTCTCAAGCACAAGACGACTTTGGTTTCTCTCGAAACAACAATCTTGGCTGGAGCCAAAACTCGAATTTACTAGATATCCTGCAGAACGACCAGAACGACCAGCGCGACGACGACGATAACACCCGGCGCCAACCCCTTCAGTTGCCCCCAGTCTTTGGGTACAGAACAGTCAGGACAATCAGCGGACGTCAACGAACCGACGGCACAGAAGACGACTTGGAAGCAGTTAGAGCTCTGTGGAATCGGAGAGCCCAGTACAGCTCTTCGCCCTTTTCGCCGCCCAGGATGCCTCCCAATCAATCCCCGCCAAATCTTTCGCCTCTGCCTCCGTCGGAAGAGTATCCGGAGGAGAACCGGAGAGTAAAGAGGAGAAAGCTAGACTCTGAGCGCATTGCCCAGAGCTTCAAGGGATTTCGATATGGACGGTATGGCCAGGTTGAGTCGGGTCAACTTAAGATGGAAATCATGAGCTGTGATGGAGGACTTTACGAGAATACTACTCTCCACGCCCATGAAAATATCCTCAAGGACGACAAGACCGTGTACTGCACACAGTCTAATCGCTGCAACATCATTCTTCGGCACCAGGGCGGAACTGCATTCAGCTTGAAGGAGCTCGTCATCAAGGCGCCGGCATCGAATTACTCCTCACCGTGAGTTTCTTGAACTATCCCCTATTTCTTGAAAGCCGTTTCTCACAGATTTATGCAGCGTACGAGAGGGCATGATCTTCGTCTCAATGAATCAAGATGAGCTCTTGAGGCGAACTGCACAATATGAAATACAGTATGCTCCTCAGAGATCAGGTCGCACAACGGCTACACGGGCACTCGCACCAATCATCTCGATACGGCATCATGAAGACGGAACGACTGTGACTAGAACGCACACTCGGCAGAGACGGCTGTACAGCCTGGGACACGACGACGATGAGAATGAGAATCGGACGGCGCAGATTCCGGCGGAGTTCACCACACACTTGCCGCCCTTCAATATCACCACCGAATGCAGCTACGAAGAGACTGACGACGAGGATACGCCTAGAATCACTGCGAATCGGACAGCTCCCAATAGAATTGGATCCCTACCGTTTGAAAGTGACAGCAGTGACGACGGCAATCCATTTGCATCAGACTTTGACGATTACTCCTTCAACAATAGGCGCCGTGACCCTCATGATATGTCACTGGCTGAGGCTGTTGAGGCGAATCAAATGGCAACGCAAGAGGCTGTTCGGGCTGTCGGTGGCGAGCTCATGGCTCCACATGCCAAGTTCTTCATTGAGAAGGACAAGAGCAAATGCACAATACGGTTCGATCCCCCGGTTGCTGGGAGATTTATCCTCCTGAAGATGTGGAGTAGCAGTCGTGCGGCTGGCAGTAATATCGATATACAAGCGGTCCTCGCCAAAGGGTTCGCTGGACCGCGGTACTTTCCTTCAGTGGAGTTGAGATAAAGGCGTGTGATGGGCCAGTGAATGAGAAGAAGGGAGTTTATGAATTCTTAATGACGAGAGGATGGTTCTCAGGGTGGTTTTCTCGACCAACAGGTCGACGGCGTTCCGGTTCTATGGCCAGCAACGGCTAGGCTAGTCAAATGTGACGCGGAAGTCACCTACATTATACCAAGTGCGAAAATACCAGGATTGGCAAATGATTGAGAGATTTCAATAGTGCGTGATGTGTGACGTAGAGACCCTGCGGGTCTAGTCCAGCGATTATTCTTCTCATCATTGTGATGTATCCTCTGTCTCTTTACTTGGGTTGACCCATTTCCACATATTGAAAAAAGAAACTTGAATATGGGAACATACTATCAAAACCCAAAGACTTATGGGACGGACGCAAGTCAGGGTGATTGTGGTTGTCAGTCGTGAATCGATTTCAATGTCACCACTGATTCGACATTCCACACCAGCCCACCAATCGGCCGGCACCAATTGTCACCCAGGTAGCGCAAAACTCAGAGTGAACCACACACCTTCAGGCTTACACTTACACTCCCAGTCCAAGGGAACAGCCAAGGCAGAATACACTACACCACCCTGCAAGCCAGGCTACTTTTTACCCTCATTCTTTGGCGAATCTCCCTGACTCAAGGAACGACTTATTCTTTGAAAGGCAGAAGAACGTTCAAAAAAAAAAAGAAGAAACCCTTCCCCTTCCACCAAAGAGCAACCATGAGCCACGAACTCACACTCATCGTCGCGGCGACGCGCAACATGGGCATCGGCGCCAAGGGCGGTCTGCCGTGGACAGGATTGAAGAAGGAGATGGCGTACTTTGCGCGCGTGACGAAGAGGCTTCCTCCCCAGGTACGTCAAGTTTTATACCTCTCCTTCCTCTCCGCTCAAACTCGCTTCATCTGTGGCGAGGTCTTGCGTCTGGTCTGGTCTGGTCTGGTCTGGCCTGTTGCATGCCAAACGCCTTACCAGCGGGTCATCACGACATATCATATCGATTGTTGTCACCATGTAAATATACCGTTCAACAGCTAATGATACAATGAGAAATAGGCACCCTCAGACGCCCGCAACGCAGTCATCATGGGCCGCAAGACGTGGGACAGCATCCCGTCCCGCTTCAGGCCCCTCAAAGGCCGCCTCAACATCGTCATCAGCCGCTCTCACCCTGCTTCGTTGGACTCTGCTGTGGCCACGGACTTCGACAAAGACGCGGTCAAGGTCTCTTCCCTGGACCATGCCCTCGCCTTCCTCCGCTCCGACGCCTTTATTGGTGACGGTGCCGCGGCCGGCACCAAGCTGGGCAGGGTCTTTGTCATTGGCGGTGCGCAGATTTACGGCGCGGCGCTCGAGATTCCCGAGGCCAAGAGGGTGCTGCTGACGAGGGTGTTGGGGGAGTTTGAGTGTGATGCGTTTTTCCCGCTGAAGCTTGGCGGCGAAGACATCGAGGCGAGTGGACAATGGAGCCAGGTTGGGAAGACGGGGCTTGATGAGTGGGTTGGGGAGGAAGTCGAGGGGGGTGAGATTGAGGAGAATGGGACGCGGTATGAGTTCCAGATGTGGGAGAAGAGTTGAAACGTTTGTAGATAACTCTTCCAACCCTTCTCAAGGAACATTAAGGGGGATGTGGACACTAACAAAAGAACAAAAAAGGACTTGGGCTTCATGGAACCGTATCCATGTTCCTCATTTCCATCTCGATACCTCTAATATGCGTTGGTGATTGTACAAAATTACAAGGCCTGCGGCGTCTCCCTTCTCCAAGCCAGGCTCTACAGTCTGCGACGTCTCGTCAAGGCTGTACATGATTCTCATCATCTTCACAAGTTTAATACACTGCGGCGACCCACGGAATCCCTTCTAACCGTCTGCACGGCCGCCGAACAACTCTCTCCCCCCTCTCTTTCTCTTTCTCGGATCCCCCCTTACGCCTTCGCCTTCGCCTTCGCCGCCGCCTCCTGACCACCACCAAGCTTAGCAACATCCTCCTTAACCTGCGATCCAACAGCATCAACAAGAGCAAACATCTCTCTCACATCCCTCTTGAACACCTTTGCCGGCGCGACAAGAATATCCTCCACAGGCGCCGCCTCCAGATCCTGAAGCGTAGCGCGCATCCACGCGACCACGGCAGCGACCTGTCGCAGATCGGCATCCTCGCGGCTCTTGAACAGGTTCCGCCACACGGCGGCGCCGAGGACCTTGTCATCCTTGACGACGCCCTCGTCGTAGGCGGCGATGAGGCCGCGCCACTGGACGAAAATCTCCTTTAGGTAGCGCTGGCGGAGAGCGGACGAGGTCATGCCGTGGTTGAGGTGCATCATGCGCTCGCAGTCGAAGAAGAACTGGTCGATGAACTGGTGCTGCAGGTTGCGGGAGCTGTCGCGGTCGAGGCAGCGTAGGCGGGCGAGTACGAGGTACATGTGCAGCATCGTGGCTTGGGACCAGGAGCTGAAGCCGGGTTGGAGGTCGAGGACTGTTTTTTTTTCCAATGGGATGTTTAGTACACTGTAGTAGTAGTCATGGGGCTCTTTTGCCATCCGAGAGTATGGAGTATAAAGGAAATGGTAATACGCACATTGCAACCACGGCCCGATGGGGTCTCCAACCTCCTCACCCTCAGCCGTCATGCGCACCATATCTTTGGCGCGCTCCTGCTCCGAGATCTTGTAAAGCGCCGGCGAGGAGCAAATCTTATACAGCGCCTCGAGGCGGGAGGTGGTCAGGGTCGCGGCCATGGTCTTTGGCGCGGCGGCCATCATGCCCGACGCAATGGCCTGCTTGAGCCCGCCGGACGACGGTGCCGCGTCCCGCCGCGTCGCCGTCTGGCTGAAGTACCTCCTCCCCATGGTAGTCGCCGCCGGCGCCGCCGGGCCGGTCTTGGATGTCGTCAATGCCGCCCGGCGCGCTGTCGCGGCGGTGGAGGTTTGCTGGGATGGCGATGATGCGGACGCGAGGTCGGCGGTGGCGCGCAGGCTTCGGGCCAGGAGCCTTGCCTGGTAGCGGCAGCTTTGGCAGGTCATCTTGAAGGTTTGTTGCTGATTCGGGATGTCAGGGAAAGGGAACCGCGTTCTGCGTCTTATCTTGGAATGTTCGCGTGGGTGATGGGTGTAATAGGGTCGTCGCGTTATCCGAAAGTGTATGCTGTCAGTCGAGGTGAGCCGGGGAATCGGGGTATTGGAGGGTGACCAGCAGCTTGGGCCCCAGAAACGCGGAGCTCAAAAAAGTCTGGACGTCATCCAAAAAAAAAGTTCATGAACACATCGAATTGGAAATTTCGAGCTAGCACATGCTAAGGTAGGCCGGCGGAACTTCGGGCCATGACCGCCGCTCTTCTGTACCGTGCTTATGCGTGTGACCACACACTGTAGAGTCTCCTCAACGTAATCCCTTTGGTTGACGATGTCGCGATGCTCAATTACCTTATGTTCAGGCTTGGCGTTTGACATCATGCAGTTCAAAGAGAAGCCTCGGCGACTGACTTCCTCTTCCACATCACGATATTTCATTGCCGTTGTGTGAAGCGGAACTTCTCACGATAAGCCTCACACAAGGCTCGTTACTTTACACCCTAACCTACTCAAAGCCCTGGAAAGGCCCGTATCCGATGTTGAAGCAGAGATTAAACCCATAGTGGCCGCGTACATGTGTCGGCAATTCTGTCTCTTACAAATTTTCCATACCCAATCATACATCGAGTCTTACAGTGAGAAGCTTTCCATCAAGCTTCTCTCCCAGTCTGTCTAAAGTTTGAGTCTAAGCCGGAGCCATTTTAGACATTCTACGGGCGCAGCCGTCATCGCATAGTTCTTCTGCTCCCATCGGCACGGCTGCCCTTACTCAACGTAGCTTGGAAAAAACGAGCGAGGCATTCGTACCGCCAAAGCCAAAGCTATTGGAAATAGCAACGTTGACCTGTTTCGCCTGTGCCTCGAGGGGTACCATATTCATGGATCCCCCGACATTTGGATTCTCGAGGTTCAGTGTAGGCGGTACGATATCCTTTTGGGTGAGAGTCAGAGAAAACATTCGGTTGGGCAGAAAAGACGAAAAAAGTCTGGGGAAGATAAGGTTCTGGTTTCAGAAACCCAATAGCCGCGACTCACCTCTGCAACCGATAGCACGGCGAACAGGGCCTCGATGGCGCCAGCCGCCCCTAGCAGATGGCCAACGGCGCCTTTGGTGCTGCTCACAGTCACCTGCGACTCGTCCGCGTAACCCTCCTCTCCCGACATGATGCTTCGTATCGCGGAAGCTTCTGCCGCATCGCCAACCTGCGTCCCAGTTGCGTGCGCGTTGATGTAACTCACCTCGGCCGGCCGGACTTGCGCGTTCTTCAGAGCAAGCTTCATGGCGCGGAAGGCTCCGTGTCCATCTTCCCGCGGGGCCGTCATGTGATGCGCATCGCCGCTACAGCCGTAGCCCCTCACCTCCGCGTAGATGTTGGCTCCGCGGGCCTTGGCGTGCTCGAGTTCCTCTAGGACCAGGACTGCCGACCCCTCCGAAACGACGAAACCATTGCGGTCGCGGTCGAAGGGACGACAGCTGGCGTGGGGGTTGTGGTTGTAGGCTGTGGAGAGGGACCTTGCCCTCCCGAAACCAGCAAAGGTCAGGGGATGGATGCAGGATTCCGTTCCGCCAGCAACCATGACGTCGGCATCTCCAAAAGCAATGAATCGCATCGCATCTCCAATGGAATGGGCACCGGTTGTGCAGGCGGTAGTGACAGAATGGTTCGGGCCCTGCAATCCGTACTTCATGGAGATATGACCGGCGGCCAAGTTGATGAGAATCTTGGGGACGAACAATGGTGAAACCTTCTTGTAGCCCTACCAGAACAGACTTTAGCTTGGCTTCGCTTGTCGATCATTGCAGCGAGATCTCACTTGTTGGTTGAACGCCAAGCTCGTCTCGTAAATCTCCTCCAGATTTCCTATACCGCTGCCAAGACATACGCCAGTGGCCTCCTTGTCCTCCTGGCTCTCCGGATTCCACCCGGCATCTTTCATTGCCATGTCAGCGCAGGCTACGGCGTACTGGGCAAACTTGGACATGCGACGTTGTTCCGTGGCATCCAGCCAGTCGCCCGGCCGCCACTGATCGGGACCTGAGCCATGGCTGGGGACTACACCAGCAACTGTGCTCGTCAGATCTTTCCAGCGGTTCTGCGGCTCAAAGTCAGCCACACTGGTGATGGCTGATTCTCCAGCCAACAGACGTTTCCACGTGGAGCGCACGCCAACGCCAAAGGGCGAAATGGCGCCGAGCCCTGTCACGACAACTCGTCGCATGATTCTTGTGCCATAGCCAGGGCCAGTCTCTGTTTGTTGTGTTGTACTACAGACGCACCGACATGTAAATGGTGGAATAAGGTAGCAAACAACAATGTGGAAAGGGCGGGGATGGAAAGGGGAGAGGCTGCGCTGGGGCGATGTGTCTATGGCAGGTAGGGATGATGAAAAGTCGATGCGGTAGGGTCCTCCGTGTCAATGGCTACGCCGGCAGCGATGGTGAAGGGATGGTTGAGTGGTCTGTAAGGTAAGTTAGGACAGTTGAAGTCGGAACAATGTTAGAGATGTGGAAAAACCGCGGTCTGGTCGCTTCTGCTGCGCCGCACAGATGCAGTTTAGCGCGTTCTCGACGGGAGAGTACGTACTCTGCACGAAGTACTCGGTACCGATGAAGGGTCGATATCGATAAATGCAGATTGTCGACCTGTCGCTGCAGGGGCTGCATGCAAACACTGTGCTGTCAGGGGCTGTCAAAGCGAAGAATGGACAGCTAAAAAGGGGGGTTTGCGGTGCTGAGGCCACAGTGTCGGGATCTCAGTAGCGTACCGTAGAAACTCGAGCAACTCGAACTTGCGCTAGCCCGTGCCAGCCCTGCTAGCGGCCCACACTAAGCCCTTTCGAGGGATCAGTTTTATCCAATTATATAATCGATTAAACCGTATACGGAAGGCGGTAAGTAATTATTTTCCATTTTTTACTCCTACCTAACTACCTACTTCTACCGATTATATCACTAATTTAACTACTAATTATACTATCAATTATACCTCCAATTATACCTCCACCACAGGCTTTATCAACGTACCCACAATACCCTCACGACAGGCCCTTACTAAGAAGGATTCGAATATAACAAAAGTACTAATTACACCTCTAACAACTAAATACCGCGGGCCTATTCCTACCCCTATTAAAGACCGGAAATATATACCGCAAAATAGCCTAATTAAGTACCGCTAGCACCACTATACCCATAATACCAAAATTAATATCTTAATATTTTTAAAGCATTACCGTATAAAGAAGCTTAATAAAGAATCAATTTACCCCCCGAGGCTACGCCAGGGCAAGACCGAGCTCCTAGGGATATATAAACGTCCCACATACCAAAAAGCCGTAGATTAATTTAAAGTCCCTCAAAACACGATTATCTCCTAATATTAGAACCGCAAATCAATTATTAATCGGTCCTCTAACTACGCTTACTACCCTTAATAACTAGAGTTTAAAATAATACTATATAGCACCTTCCGCTAATAACGAAATAAAAAAAAGCTCGTTAATACTAATTAATTTAAAAAGACCGCTAAATAAATTTTCGCTTAACAGAACCCAAATAATAAACATCTTTTTATTTTTTCCCCTAGTTAGTTTTGTAGCTTTTAGAATTATATAAGAATTACCTAACGTCGACTTATTAAACAGGCAACGAAGTTACCTACTAAGTACTTTAAAGTTATTAATAACTTTCTTTCCTTTATCCGATAAGTTAATTAAATAGCCCTAGCTAAAATAAAACGGTTTAACGTTAGAGATTTACTTAAAAGTCCAGCCTATTAATTTTCTAATTTACAAATTCTTAACCTTGACGAGACCCTAATTCCTTTCAAATACCTAAACGGTTATATATATAACGACGTCGGAACTAAAACCGTAACTAGCAAGAGTAACTATAATAGTTAAAATAAGCAGTAAACCATATTAATACTCTATATCTTCACTAACGATATATAACAAATTAAACCAAAAATAATATTCTACAGCAAGCCTATAAAAAAAAGGGGTTAATTATAAAAAAAAGAGGGCCTATTATACGCAGAAAGAATAACAGTTAAGTTTAACAAAACTACCTATAATAATAAATACTTATTTAAAAGATAAATTAAAAAGGAATTAATAACGCTAACTAAAGGAGACGAGTACTTATTAATAATAAATATTACTTCCTTTTATAAAATAGATTCTATCCTTATACTATTACGTCAACACTATATCATACCCTACCTTATACCGCTAAGGACTACTTCCCTCTTCTAACCTTTTAATACCGTAATTAATAAACCCTTTAAGCAATAGCTTTTAAAAATAACTAACGTTTATATACTTAATAAGGAAAAAAAAGCGCTAAATAAATAGAAGGAGCTTAAATAAAAGACGGATATAAAAAAAATAATAGTTACCAAAATAATTAAGACGGTAGCTATTAAATTAGCCCATAAGAAAGGCTTAATAATTAGCTAGGCCTTCCTATAGTACGGAATATCTATTCGGCCCGATAGTAGCTAGGTTAATAAGATCTAGATTAAAGACGTACCCGCTAAGGCCATCGATTATATTAGATAGGAGCTCTTTAATATAAAAACCTATATTAAACAAAAAACGTTATAAAAAGAAATTCTAAACTTTGCTATTTTAAATAACGGGTTAAAATACATTTTTATAATAAAGGAAGTCCGTAATGATATTAATAGGTAGTTTATCGACCTAATAATCTAACTACTATATAAATAGGGGCCTATTAGAGGTAATAGGCTAAAGGACAGTTAGGGGCTCGGTTATTTACATATAACTATTTCTAATTAATATTTTTACCCTTTTTACTAATTCGACAAAAAAAGCTTAAAACCGACGAGAAAGCTAAAATAATTATTAAATTATATTAATTATAGGTCCGGCCTCGACGGCGAGCTTTTATTAATTAGATTAATTAAAATATTAACCTATACCAAAAATAGGTGGCGGCCGTATTTAACTACTTTAGGCAGTATTACGATTCTGCTAGAGCGCTAGCAGGGCTGGCACGGGCTAGCGCAAGTTCGAGTTGCTCGAGTTTCTACGGTACTTTATCTTGAGTTCCATTGACCCTTTCTGGCGATTGGGCCTAAAAGGCGGGCAACTGCAGCGGGAAGCGGGGGACACTAACGTCGCCTCAATGGGGGTTTTGGAGTCTGGAATTCTGGATTCAGCCTCTTAGGTGTCAAATGATTGGCTGGAACTGGGGAGCTTGGTCTCTGCGTCGGAAACGCAACGCAACGCTGCGCAACGACACACGTTGCGGCTGGCGCATGCGCTCTCACTCTATCTCTCATTCTCACACTCACTCACTCTCACACTCATTCACTCACTTCCCCTCTTCCTGTCTCCAAGGTACCTTGGTCTCCCACAAGCCGACGCTTCTTTCATGTAGAATAAGCTTTTCTTAACTTGCTTCTCTATTGCAGCCTCATGAGACTAGGAGGTGACATCCTCTACCGCACCATCGGATCAACCTGCTCAACTTCACTCCAGGAGGTGAACTAGTCCAGCCATTCACAGATCATCAATCCCTGGAGGACGACATCTCATCTCACCAACCGTTCCATTGAGCCACGTTTCAGACATCGAAGTCTTCCCGGCATTCCAAATCGTTATCATCGCCAGGTTGAGAAGCCAAGAGAAACAAACGAGCCCGCCAGGAACACAGGAACAGAAGGCAAACTCGGAAGCTTGGCCATCCCGCCTTGCAGGGTCTCCCATCGCATCTCGGCATCTGCAAAACTCAACGTCCGCCTCCATCGACTCCATCCCCGCAAACTTGCGGCTCTGTATCCGGGCCTCGAGTCGCCACACCACACTGCATCTGTGCTGAGTTGTGCCGCAGCTTGGTTTCAGCGTCGCATTTGTTTCCCTTCTTATCATCAATGACCACTCGTCCTATGAGAACTCTGCAACCACTTCGAGTCCAATCTTCTTGTCCGAGCAGTGTCACCAGTCGGGAAACTCGCCTTCCTTGAGACTAGCCCCCATTCATGCCTTTGCCCTCGTCTTTCCTCGACTTCTCTGGCCGTCCGATCATCCCACCACATCACACCCTCCACCATCTTTCGCTCCAATCATCGCCCTCGCCATCCTTCAGTCTGATCCCGGTCTGCGGATCGCCCGTCCTTTCCTGTCGAGCATCACCCTGTTTCTAAGAGCACGGGGTCGGCCCTCCTGCGTAGCACGCGCTACTAAGCACCTGCGAGGTTGATTCATTCGAGTCCCACGTCCAATCACGCCACACGTGCTGTAGGCCTCGAGAGAGACTCTGTACACACCAGAGGCTTATCGAGTACAACCAGAGGCTCAACTTTAGCCTTTGCTTCATGTTGGTCTGGGATCGGCATTCGTAGCTCGTACCTCTCTGCGGGTTCCCATCTCCCGCCTCTCTCTCCCCCCCCCCCCAAAGCCATTCGCCTAGACACTTTAGACTCTCCCCCCCTATATAGAAACCCACTGCCTCCTCCTGCTTTTGGACGTTTTGACCCTGTCGTTGATGATTGTGCTCCCACACTCCTGGGAATACTTTCAACATGCCCCAACCATCTAATGGCAAGTCGTCTGGTACGGCTTCAGGACCCATGATGGCGGACAACGATCGCGGGCTCGATACCAAAGCGGAGGTGGAGGTCAGTGGGCGCGAGATCAATCCCGCCGACTCTACCACCTCAAGATTCTCAGACCGTGACCCGGTCGAGGACTTGAAAGAGAGGCTCTCGCAATGGGGTGAGTCAAGTGTCTATCACGGCTATGATGATGAAGATGAGCAAGGGTCCGAACATGAACTTCTCTTAGATCCGAACCTGCCCGAAGAGTACGAAACGAGGATTCGCAACGCGGCAACGACACCCACCGAAGAGGTCGACGATGAGCTGGCCATGAAGAGGGAGGAGGAAGAGGACTCACCGTACGCAGAAGTGCGCGCAGCCGTTCGCAACTACGACGAAGATATGCCCTGCAACACCATCCGAGCCTGGACTATCGGTCTCATGCTAGTCACTGTTGGTGCTTCAATGAACACGTTGTTCTCACTACGACAGCCATCCATTGGTCTTGGTCCTCTAATTGCACAGATTATTGCATGGCCTATCGGTCAGGGCTGGGCCAAGGTGATGCCTACGAAGCAGTTCAAGACCTTCGGCATCAAGTGGAGTTTGAACCCGGGACCATTCAACATCAAGGAGCACTCCATCATTGTCGTGATGGCTGGTGTGTCTTTCTCGGTTGCGTACGCTACCGACATTATTCTCGCTCAACTGGTGTTCTACAAGCAGGATTTTGGCATCGTCTTCCAACTGCTTCTCACCATTTCCACTCAGTCCTTGGGCTACGGAATTGCCGGCATCATGCGAAAGTTCCTCGGTGCGTCACTCATCAGAGAACTATCATTTAGGTTTGCTAACTTTTATTACTAGTCTATCCGGCTGCTATGATCTGGCCCGGAAACTTGGTCTCCGTCACCCTGATGAATGCCATGTACGAGACGAATGACAGGCCCGATCCCACCTTCATCGGTGGCAGCATGCCCCGATACAAGTGGTTCGGTATCATCGTTTTGGGCTCATTCTGCTACTACTGGATTCCCGGCTTCCTCGCCCAGTTTCTCAGTATCATGGCATTTGCTACCTGGATTGCTCCGAACAATGT